GGCCAGTCCTGACTCAGTTATACCAACCTTAAGACTTGGGTCTGCTCTTAAGTGGCTTTTAGTAAGTCACCTTATGTGGGCAAAGACTGATAAACATTTGTGGAGTTGTGATGGGATATATTTGTGATTTTATGAACATTTTCACTGCCATGGATTCTGATGCAATAAGCAGTGAGTTGTACCTCTGGTGGAATCTGGCCTGACTCTAGAAAGAGCATCCTGCAGGAATGTGCCCTGCGTGTCACACAGTGACGACAGCAATACACAGGAGTGTCTGTGGTTGGTGTGATAGGTGTGAGACACGAGCCAGTCTTGCTGTTGATTTACTAAATCCAAGTTTTATTGTGGTGGCTTTTTCCCTAGAGAGTTTAATGTAAAGTGCTTAGAATAACTTACTGGAAGTGACAGGATCACAGACTCACAGCACGGTTGAGGTAGGAAGGGCCCTCTGGAGGTCACCCAGAGCAGGAGCACCAGAGCAGTCACACAGGAACATGGCCAGGGCTTTGGGTGTCTCCACACAAGGAGACTCCACAACCTCTCTGGGCAGCCTGGGCCATGCTCCAGAACCCTCACACTCACAAACTTTGGCCTCCTCTTCAGCTTGAACCTCCTGTGCTCCAGCTTGGGACCATTGCCCCTTGTCCTGGCATTGAACATCCCAGAGCAGAGCCTGGCTCCTTCCTCCTGACACTGCCCTTTCCCAATGGATCCCCAGGAATGAGGGCACCCCTCAGTCTCCTCTGCTCCAAGCTCAAGAGCCCCAGCTCCCTCAGCTGCTCCTCAGCAGGAGATGCTCCACTCCCTCCAGCATCTCTGTGGCCCTGCTGGACTCTTTCAAGCAGTTCCTGTCCTTCTGGAGCTGAGGGCCCAGCACTGGACACAAGATTGCAGCTGTGGTGTGAGCAGGGCAGAGCAGAGGGGCAGGAGAACCTCTCTGCCCTACAACCACCCCTTCTCATCCACCGCAGGATGGTGTTGGCCTTCTTGGCTCAAGGGCACATTGCTGGCTCATGAACATCCTGAGCAACATCTGCCAACACCCCCAGGTCCCATTCCACTGTTACAGCGAAGTTCTGCAAAACTTGGATTATTTAGCACTTAACCTGGCCTTTAAGGCTTGTGCTGCATTCGAGACATTTTAAGTGAATCTCATTCATTATATTGACCTTTTTATTGGAGTTTAAACCCCTCAGCTGTCTAAAGCACTGTAGCTGCAGTAGGCTCGAGTGGGAAGGTCTGTGGCCAGGCCTTGTCACTGGAGCAGGGAGTGTCCCTGCTGCCCGCAGTTTGTCTGTAGGGAGCTGCTCCCGTTCCTGGGGGCACCACGCACCCTCCTAGGGAGGTGTTGGTCAGGGTACTTGGTTTTCTGTGTGTGTTTTGGCACCCCACTGCTTGCACACCCGCTCTGTGGTTCTGTGGTCATTGTGATGTGGTGGTGCAGAACCCAGGGGTGCCCTGGCCTGCTGGGCCACCCGTTCGCTGCACCTAGCCGCTCTGCCTTGCTTAGGAGATTAGTAGTTGTGAAATTTGACTTCATGAGATGAACCTGGTTTGTGTCTGTTCTGAGAGACCCTGTGCCTCCCTCAGCAGCCAAAAGATCTTCAGTGTTAGAGCCCATGGACACAGTGTAAATAGTGAAGAATCCATGGGAGTGTAGAGGTTAGGCTGGAAGTTGGAGGCAAGTCTCCTGCTCAAATATTTTCAAGACCCACTTGATAGCATTCACGCATCCCGAGTAACAGTGACCAGATGCTGTTATATCCAGGTAATATCCTGTGGAGGGATTTTGGTTAATACCTGTTTAGGAGTGAGGATATATTTTTTCCCATGTTGGTATACATTTCAGCAAAGGTTTTGAACATGGAATTGATAGGTAATTTAGTTGAAAGAAATTTCACCTTGTTAAAAGTAAAATATGTTCCTTCATTCAGTAAATCTTTAGCTATTTTCAGTGCTCTTATTTTTATTAAACATTAGTATTTTTTCCTTTTTTATTCTTTTTTTCCCCTGAAAAGATGACATTTTCCTTGTGTAAAGCTGCACAAACTTCCCTTCTTTGTTCCTTTTTAATGAGAGTTTGCTTTCTGGTTTCATTGGGTTCAGTTGCCTTCATGATTATTATTCACTGTGGAAAATTCTGGGAAAATAAGAGCAGTTTCAGGCAAAGCATTGGGAGGAATTGACACAAATCACTACACATGGACAATAAAAACCGTCAGGGTTTCTTTTTCTAGTTTGATGTACTCAGTTTCACTTTTACAAATACGAGAGCTTAAAAAGCAGTCGTAAATGTTCATCAGGTTTGACAGGCAAAATACTCTGAAATGGAACAAATGTCTTGTTTATACTCGAGGTTAAAGAGAATATGGATCAGCTGAAACTGGTATGGGCTTTTTTAGTCACAGAACGCATTAGGTCTACAGTGTAATTATTGCTGATCCTGACTAATGACTGTTTAGGGGATTATCTCTTTTGGAGTCAGCCATCTGCTGTGGTTAGAGTAATAAACTAACTAAGCGTAATTAAGGGTTGACTTAGTTTGAAAGCAAAAGTATGTATGTCTGTAGGAAAATAATGTAATTTCTCCAGTTCGAAATAATGGAGGAATGGCAATATTCCAGTTTTCTATTGATGAATTCAAACAAGCAGCTGAATTAAAGCTTGGAAATGCAACCCACCCCAAAAACACCCCAGCCCCTGCAAACTGAAACCAAAGGAGTGGGAGAGGGGGGAAGGAGGTGGCCTTAGGAGGGCAGTTCATTACTCTGCTTGTGCTGAATTACCGCTTCACACAGATGGCTTATGAGTGTAGCTGCATTTACCTTTCTGTATTAAAAAGTACTGATTTAGCAAGGATATCTTCCCATTTATGACACAGATGCAGATTGCTTATAGGTGGTTCTTGACTGTGCTTATTTATAAAATACATTAGACAGTAAAGACTTACTTTAGTGCTGTATTATTACACTTAACATGACAGCAGTTTTTTTTCAGAAATTGGATAATTGTGGATGTTTTTGACAGGAGAGATAAGTGAAATGCAAAGTTTCAGTCCTGAGTTTTGAATGCGGTGCATTAAAGCTTAGGAATGCCCTCCCTTCTACAGGTGGTTACTGTAATAACACCACGATGCTGTGTTTCTGGTTTCCTTACACCATCCATCCATATGGTAAATTCACTGTGGCCACACTTAAACAGTAAATACCAAAATACAACAAGACCCTAAGTGTTTGTACAAAACCTGCCTGCTGGCCTCAGCTGAGTTCAGTCATTCATAGTGTCTAACAAAGTACTTTGTTGTATTCATTTACGTCTATTTATTGGTCTCTATATACTAAAGATGTTCATTTTTTGTAGCATGAAGCAAAGCATGTGCAAGGACTCGCAAAACAATGTATCTCTGCCAGTGCTTCAGCCTTAGATCTGTAGATACAGTCTTTAATCTTAATCCCTTATGAATGGGATTTCTATTAATTATTATCCTTAGGAATAATTGTTAAAAATAACGGGCATAATCTAACATTTAAAGTATACAGTATGTACAGCATTTTTCAGTGGTCTACTCTCACTAAGTAGCAGTTTAGCTGAATTGTATTCACAGATGACTGAAAATCAATGAGGTATTCTTTAACTGTGGATAGAAAATGATTAATTGGAGAAAAGCCTGTATTTAGGAGTTCTGAATTAAAAATGCAAAATGTTTAATAATATTTTGCATTGCTAGATTCTCTGAAGGAAAGAAATAGTTTCTGTGATTTCTACTATTGTTCTGAAGACAAAGTTCATAGCCCTCATGTTCTGTGCAGAGGTAGGTACTGTTTTGTACCATGTCAGTGCAAGTAGTTGATTTTTTCTGTATTTGCAGAAGGAATTTAATTTTCTTCTGTATGGGTGAAGCGGGTGTTTGCAGCGATAGGTGTGAGACCCTGTTAGATGTTAACTGTGCTCGGTGTTGTGGTTTTTGTGACAATAAAGGGACTCTGGAAAGTTTTCTTCCCTGCCATGTTCATTCTCTGCTCCCGAGTCACCATCCGCTGCAGTTCTGGTGGACTGACTCAGATAAGAGTCTTTTGATTCTGCCACTGCTATCTTAGATATCATTTACTTGGCTGCATTTTTCAAGTATTTGAGAAACCACTTCTCATAAAGTAGTATTTTTAATAATAATTTTACTGTGTGTTGTTCTTTAAATACACATGCTTACTTATTGAAATAAGCCTGGTAACTTTAGATTTAAGCAATTTGTGGCACAAATAAAAATGCCTTATTTTATATGAAGAGCTCACCAGGAAAAAAAAGTCAACAATTGCAGGACTTCCGGTATTTGTCCTGTCTCATCGTAATTGCTGGGTGTCTCGCTAAGCTAAGAGACTGGATGCAGACTTTTCTACATGCATTGCAGGTTCGTTACAGCCAGGTCTGCCAGGGAGCAGCAGGAGCAGGGCTGTGCTGCGAGGTAGGAGGCGGCAGCCAGGGGTGACACAGGCGCAGCCCCGTGGGGTCTGAAGGCTGTGTGGGGCACAGGGCCCAGCAGAGCCGAGGGGCCTGTCAGGCCCAGGCCCATCCCGTGGCCCGGTCTGGAGTTGCAGGAGGTGGGAGCTGGTGCAGGCCTGGAGAGAGGCCGTGACGCTGGGCACGGGACCTGGCCAGGAGGCGTGGGCACAGAGCAGGCTGCAGAGCTATGGGCCTGCTCAGGTGAGGGCCGAAGGTGCCACTCGGAGCTGCAGGGGAGCTTTGGGGTGGTCCGGGTGAGGCTGTTGGCATCCCAGGCTAAACTTGAGTGGCTCTCAGCAGCAGTGCCCATCCCCTCCCTGCTGTGTTGTGCTGCATTCCCCTGATGGCTGAGTGCAGCTCACCTGAGGCACATCTCGCATCAAGGTCTGGAGGAACCTCTCAAGAGCCAAGTGCAGCTCCTGAGACATGGTCAGCTCCCGTAGTCCCCTTGTGATTTCATTTCCTGCCATAGAAAACAGACATTTGTCTTTCCTCTTGCAGATATGGAGTCTGGAGAGCGGTTAACGTCATCGTCGGTCTCCTCTACTGCAGCTGCTTCCACTCCAGTGTCTTCTACGCCGTCTGTAGCATCAGCAGTATCGAAAGGTGGCCTTTCCACGGGAGCTGCGTCGCTGAGCTCCACAGTCAACACATGTGGTAAAAATGGCTCAATTATTTATTGCAATGTGGTGGTAGTGTTTGTCAACACTTTAATATTGCAAGTCAAATATAATAAGGTTGCACAGATGCATCGAAGAAATGAGTTGGGGTTTTTTTCTTGCTAAGCAACATTTCTGTCACTTGAATACTTTTTACATGGTACTTGTTAATTGAAGGAATGAAATTAATTTGAAATTGCCCATTTTAAACATGAAGGAAATTTTCAGTTTGCAAAGCTCCCTTGGAAGCAAGGATCAAATTAAGGATCGATCTAGCAAACTCTGCCGATTTCAGCTTAAAATGTAATGATCAACTTCTTGAATACACGTCATGTTCTCTGCATTCAAGCTGAATCCCTACTGTGTATTTGTATCTGGAGGAATAGTCTCTTCTAATGGAACCTGAGATTTAAAAGATGAACTTGTAATGTTGTAGTCTTAGGTAGTCTTGACTACAGTGAAGTATCTTGGCTTGAATCAGAAACTTACATGGAAAATTTCTCCATGCGAGAATCTCATTTTTGTGAGTGGAACTCGTATTTTAGCTGAATGATGGATATGTCATCAGCAGAACAAGAAATGGTAACTCACTCTTCCCTGCTGTTTCCTTCTTCCCTTTGGAGAACAGATCACATGCATTCTCTTTGTTAGCCCGAATACTACTGGTTCTTGTGAGATACACCGCAAATAGCAAGTTTTTCAGCTCAACTTCATGGCAATTCACTGCTTTCAGACCAGACTTGGTTGTCAGTGTTGTGAGCAGGTGTGAGTTCTCCAAACTGAAAACCTCCTGCCCTGGTGCTGCAGAACCAGGAGCTGCGTGGTGCCCTGCCATGGCCTGCATTTGTGTGCAGCTTCCCTGGGAAGAAAAATAAAAACCGGAATGGCTGCGTACCTGGAATTAGATCTCGACCACTCATTTTAGTTACTCTAGAATCAGCCAGAGAAGTTCTTAAATAAAAAAGATCCAGAACAAATAACAAGGTGTTCTATTTTTCAGTACTCCAAAAGCTTTTGTGTCCATGTTCGTTAGCCCATGCCGTTTGAAATGGTTCTTTTGGTGGTTCCCAGAACGTAGTACGAGTTCATTTGCTCGTGGCTCTAGATTTGCAGGCCCAAACCGAGCATCTGTGTGACTCATTTACCTCTCCTTGCCACCTTTGCTTTGTAGATATTACAGCATGTGATTTTTCTCTCCTGTAACGTTGTATGTGTATATAGGATATATTTGGTCTATCAGATACAGTAAGACTAAAACAGATTATAAATCTAATAAATATACTAAACTGATAGTTCCTTTCTTCATTAGAAAAACTGAGTAGTCCTTTCCTTAAGTAGTTTTAAAAATGTTATTCTTACCTTTCATTAAAAAAAGTTTCATTTCTGTCTGACAGCTAATGTCAAAGACTGACAGTGATTCCCAGTACTCACAGGTTTTTTCCTTCTAGTTTTCTTAGGGGTCAGCTCCATTGCCTGGTTGTACCTGATCTTTGAGAATGCGCTGTTTTTCTCGAGGTCACTGTATTCGCCGGACCATGCAGTGTAGTTCACTCCCAGCACCGTCCATCAGCTCATTTATGAGTCTGTGTCTCCATCTGGCACCGTGCGCTGTGGCCACTGCTGCATCCACCCTGCAAGGGCACCCGCGGGCCTGAGAGACCCCCTGAGGTGCTCGTGTGTCAGCCAGAGGGGCTGTGGCTGGAAGGGCAGTTTCACTGGGTCAAAGCTCCCAAATTTATGAGTTATTTTGTAGTCGAGATAGCCTGTTCATAAATTGAAGTGTTATTTACTTACATGATACTAAAAAAAAATAATCACAATGTCTGTCAGTCTCAATCTGATAATTAAATTATATTCACATTTAAAACCACATTTCTCTAGCATCTAATAAAATAATTGCTTAAGAATGAACAATTATTCTTACTAAGAGAAGGCAAAGGCATCTTAATCTATGCATTAGATTAAAGAGGTTTTCTTAATTCCAGTTCATCTATTTATTTCTCTGCAGCGATCAATAATCTATTAAGTAGTCTCCTATATAAACTGGGTTGCGTACCATGCTTGGTGAGTTAGGACCTAGGAGTCTCTATGCTTTGGCAGGGAGATTGCACTTCAAATAAACTATTTTGGCAGGTTCCCAGGTCAAACAGACAAAGCACCTGTGTGAAACCATTGTGGAATATATCGCGTACTGTTAGTTTAATTGGTTAATACAGCACTGGTTCCTGGATAATTAAAGCATTCCAATCAATTACTTGCTTTCTTCTTATTCACCAATTGCTGAAAATAAGAAGGCCCATTGGAAAAGAAAAGTGACTGGAAAGAGGTTTAAATCCTCATGAGAATGTTCGCAACCTTAGAAGAACATAAATCAACAGCCTTTTCTCACATGAGTAAATGATACCATAATTCAGTGTTTTGTCTTTATGAGGGGCAATTAAACCAGCATGTGAAACTGTTCAAAGCTGAACAGTTGAGTCTTATTGCTTTGATATTATCAGACCTGAAGAGTTCTTTAATTTTCAAAATAAGGAAGTTCATTAACTTTTTGTAAAATGAAAAGAAAATAGTGTTTTTTAAAAATACCTTTTTTTCCAAACCAGAAGCTGCTTCTATCAAAGCAAAACTCTTGTCTTTTTGGAGTCCACTAATTCTCCACTATTTATGTGTGCATTCATGGGAAGCTGCTTCAGACGTGTTTTGTGGTGCAGGCCTTGGAGTGTCCCAAGCTGGAGGTTGTAGAGGTGGCGTAAAGTTGTTGTGCCTTTGTGTAGTTCTGATGTAGGTAAAAGTGGTGTTCAGGAGCGACCTGTTTGTAAGGGTAGAAGTTTCATTTTGGGGTGGTCACTGTCACATAGCTTCCTACCAAGTATTTATTTTCAGAATGTTTTTAAATAAAGCTGCCTTGGAAGATTTACCAGAATGGCTTGAATGACTTAAGGCTGGAATTGTTGCAGGAAATTAATGTCACTTAAGGAGTTCCAAGTGTTGTGTTTTCTTCTTGGTCCCAGATTTAGTAAAACTGCTCTAGATAATTTGCAGCAACAGAATATTTCAATGCATTACTGTAACAGCTGAGGTTTATTTCTGATTCCCTTGCGGAGCAGAATGGTGGCGAGCAGCGGACGCGCACTCTCGTCCTGGGGCAGCTTTTTTCCCACCGCTCTTGGGAATTCCGCCTCTGTTTGCACCTCCTGCACAGAACCATGATTCTGCTCCATTTCACTCGAGAGCTGCAGCGAAGAACAGCCGGAGCAGCACAGAGAAAGGTAACGGCTGAAGCTGTGGAGGGAACAACCGTATTGAGCGTTGGCACACGCAGAAAGATGGGGAATTTGGGCTTCTACCTCTCATCGTCCTTCCCATTCCTGAGCAGTCATGAGCATTGGTTCTGTTAGCCAGGCAGGAGATGTGCAGCTGTGGGCTTTCAGTACTGAGCTGCTGCTCCTACTGATGTTTCCCTGCTCTTTTCCTAAGTTTGTCTGCAACTGAGTAGCAGGGAAAACTTTTCTTGTAAAGTCTGTGGTCTGATTTAGGAGGCCTTGTACTTCTCAGTGAGTACTGTTCCTCTGCACCATCAGGTGGATCCATCACTGCAGATCCCTCAGGCTGTTCTCTGTGGTGCTGTGATGTGCAGCAAATTTAGGATCTGATGTGTGTTTCAGCGTGGTAATAGTCCTGGGATGGCAGAGTAGCAAGTTTGTGTGGTTAGGGATATTTTCTTAGAAAACAACAGTCTTCTTGACAGATCAGCAAGCTTGAATGTGGATGTTACTTCACATAGCACGCCCACAACTTCTGATTGGTACTTAACAATTGTAAACAAATTATTCTCTGAGGTGTTTACTGCAATGTATATTTTTGTGTCTTCTTTCTTCAAGATCTTATTTTTCTGCCCCTCACCAAACTTAAGGATAGTTTGGGCTTAAAAATTGAGAATTTCAGATATTTTTTTCCCTTTCTTACAGCGTTAAATGTGTACTTTAAACCATGAGTACTCTGCATGTTTTAATTAAAACAACTCCATGAGCAAACCAAAGTGGCTCTTGCATGGCACATTTTTAGTGTATGTTTGGAGTAACCTGTGAGCAGTTGAGTATCGTGTTCATGGTAGCTAGGTTGGTGTGACTGAACATCTCAAAGAAAGCATCTGCTGCTTCAGATTTCACTGTGTAAATCTTGTCCTCAGGTATAAATGGATCCGTGAATGGGAACAGTACCACTGCGGTGTCTGGTGTCAGCACATCTGTCCTATCCACTAGCGCTGCAACATCTGCAGGACAAGCGAAAGCTGTAACCTCAGGAGCAGGAGGCCGCAAATATAACCAGGAGCAAAGCAAAGTTCAGCTTTTGGACACCAGAGCTGACAAAATCAAAGATAAGGTAAATATACAGAAAAACCCCTTAAAACTCAGACAAAAAATTGTTGTGGTAAGTGTTGTGATTGTGCACACAGCAGCATTTTTAAGTGGTCTCTCCCAGTACAAAATGTTTTGTGTTTTTCTTATTGCTTATTAAAGCAAGATCTGTACCCCTGTCTCTGGGTTGGGTTTTTTTGTGTTGGAGGTTTTTGTGTTTGGTTTTTATTTAGTTTTTTTTGACATGCCTCTGAACCAAAATCTGCCAGTAGCACTAATTCCACTAGATAACAGCCTTAGTGTTGATGAGTGGAAGGAAACACCATCAGCTAAGTAAGCCCATTGACACACTCTTCTCTTTCCACCTACATACATCTAAGGAGCTGTTGTTATGAGTATGTATTTCATCAGCATCATGAATAAATGGAGTATTTCTGATTTTAGTATTATTGCAGTGTTTTGTGTGTTTCCCTTTCCACGTCCAGAGATAGAGAGCCGTGAAGGGGAAAAACTAGAACAGAATCCTGGAGATGTGATTGCAGGAGGCATTGCTACTTTTACTGCTTCAGATCATGGTCTTGTCCTTTGTTTTATGGTCTTAACCTTCATGAAGAAATATTCTCTATCTGTGCCCAATATTAGACAGGAAGATACTTAAATATGATGTGAAGGACACCAGCAATGAAACACGTAAGAGTTCAGACTGGCACAGTTACTTAGATCTGTTGCTTTTTTTGAAGTGTCTGCATACGTTCTAATGGTTGTCCCTCATGTGAAGTATCAACTTCATCTTTCTGAATTGAGCAGTGAAACAGTAAATCCAAATTAATGCATTTAAATTCTTAAGATTTCCCAACAGTGAGGCAGCGCATGTGGCTATGCAGAAGGTGTGTCGATAGGAAGTACTTCTGTGTTCCTCACAGGAGTCGATAAAGACAACCTGATTTTACAGAAGGTGCAGCTACCAGCCAGTTGACACATGGAGGAGACTTGATGCACCTACAGCTCCCATGCTTCAAAACTGGTTCACAAAGTAAATTGAATCCTCTTGTGGTTTGACTCTCGTGCGCAGCTCAACCCTGTGCAGCCACTCACTCGGTCTCCCCAGAGGGATGGGAAAGAGATCTGAAGGGAAAAAGTGTGTAAAAGGTAAAAGTCTTGAGATGAAGACAGTTTAATAGGTAAAGTCGCACACACAGTCAAAGCCAAACAGGGAATTCATTCACTGCTTCCTGCTGGGGCAGGTGTTCAGTGTCCCCAGGAAAGCTGGACTCCGTCACGTGCAGTGGTGGCTTGAGAAGACGAATGCTCCAGGTCTGAATGTGTCCCCTTCCTCCTCAGCCTTCACTGCTGAGCACGATGCCATGTGGTTTGGGGTGGCTCTGGTCACCTGGGGTCACCTGTCCCAGCTGACCCCCTCCCAGCTCCCTGTGCACCCCCAGCTGCTTGCTGGCGGGGCAGGGTGAGGAGCAGGAGTGGCCTTGAGGTCACTAAAACATCCCGGTGTTATCAGCACTCTTGTGTCACTGTCCAGAACACGGCACTGTAGGAGCTGCTGTGGAAAAATTAACTCTGTCCCATCCGAAACCACTGACAAGTTTCTCTCACTAATTTAAGTGAATTTCTTCTTCACAAGACAAGGATTGTTGAGATAAAATTGCTCTTCCTTTTTAGTCTCTTGTTTTATAATACATCTATCGTTAAAAACTAGATTTGAAAAAGTAAACTTTCAGGAAAAGTTTTCATAAGAAAGCATACATTTTAAAAGCACTGCTTCTCTGATACTCCTGCCTGCATTGTTACCTAGAATTACTGCAACTTTTTTGCCCTCCAGTCACCTATTTCTGCTGTCTACCTCTTCCTTTTGACTGATTTTAACCTTACAGTTCTCTCCGTGACTCCATGGGTCCTGCTTAGATGCTGCATAAAACTTTGCTGCTCCTGCCTGTTACCTGCAATACAGTAGAAAATATAGTAGAAACCATGTTTCTCTACCTTCCAAATTTATTCTGCGAGCTCTCTCTAATGATTAAATATGTGTTAAAGCAGGAAGTAAGTTACTATCACATCTCTCTCATAGCCACCCTCATAGCACTCAAGGCCACAGGTACCTCCTCTGGATGTGTTTTAAAATGCTCTCACTCGGTTTAGCTCCTCAGAAAGCTTCACTGTGCTCATCCCTTGCACTCTAAAATCCTCGTCTTGCAGTGTCAGCATTTTGGAGCTCCTGTGTTTTTTACACAGGTGTGTGCCGCTGCTTTTACTTTTCCATTCTGGTCTGCAAATGTGTTCTTTCCAAAAATTTAAACTTAATGCAATTTTGAAAGTATTTCAGCAGATTTTGGTCCATTTTTCAGAAGCAAATCCCAGCAGCAATTTGATGAGCGTATTCTTTTCAGTCCCCAAAACCTTACATTGCTGAACAGCGCACAGTGTGAAGTTGCAGGTTGAGTAATGCAGTTAAATGAACGTGTCACTGGAACACTGATCTAATCTCATATGTATTGCTCTGTCTGTGCTAGTTTGCAATGGAGCTTTTAGTTTTAAATTTGTGGATGCAGTCCATCTGTGGAGGTTGCTGGACCTGGCTTCCAGGCTGGTTTTCTAGGCCTCAGTTTGATGAATTGTTTGAAATGTGGTGGTCAGAAGGATGCTTCAGCGCAGCGTTGTGACCAGGGATTTCAGCTTTCGTCAGTTCTTTCTCTGCAGTCTTCTGCAGCACAGAGAGTTGTGTTCAAGGACTGCAGAGCACTTAACTTCAGACTCTTACTGTTATTTGTTTTAACGATTATGCTTAATGATGAGATGATATAAAAGACTAGAGCTGAGCCACTAATAGAGCATTCGTCTTCCGGGTAGAAGCCCAGAAAAAAAGCGGTGGAAAGCTCCAGTAACAGCGACAGTGACTCGGGCTCCTCCTCAGACACCTCGAGTGAAGGCATAAGCAGCAGCGACTCGGATGATCTGGAGGAGGACGAGGATGAGGAGGACCAGAGCGCTGAAGAGAGCGAAGATGAGGAATCTGATTCTGAAAACGAAGCACATCCCAAAAACAAGAACAAGGTAGGACACCTGGCTCTGCTGCTCGCAGCCTGGTCACTGGAACCGTTAGTGAGAAATGGACCTGCTCGTGTTTGTACCACTCAGCAGTTACTTAACTACACATTAATGCATGCTAAGAATACTCTTCGGGTTTGCTTCGGGGTTTTCTTGGGGACTTGATGTGCATGCATGTGTGTGTTTTGTTGTTACTTAAAGGCTAGGAGCTGATCAGTTGATAGACTATTTTTCCTGTTATAAAGTGGGAAATATAAAGAAATTAAGCGCTGTGTGCTAGCAGTGTGCTGGAAGTATGTTCTGCTTTTTGCAGTTGCTTTTTTTCCTATTAGACTGGTTATTTTTCCTGGTGGCCAATAGAAGAACAAGATTGGAATCTTGGGTATCAAAATATATTTAAGAACCCCATGGTGTAGTGGTCCTCCGCTGTTGTCTTCACATGCTGCAACGATCAGTGGAAAGGAAAACCCTAAACAATGAATATATGGCAAGATTGATATTAAAATTTTTGTTGTTCATCCTCTGCCAAGAGTAGCATAAACGTTTCATGAGGACTGATGATGATTTTTTTTTTAAGGCTCTTTAGCTGATCTTTTATGAACAGTCAGAAATACATATTTTGCAGGTGCTAATGCATGGTGGCGTAGCAGATCTAAATGCTGATGGGCAGAAACCGCATGAGAAGCCCCAGGAAGCAAGAACACACCAGCAGATACCTCTCGTGTCTGACTCCCAGCCTCTCCCGTCATTCCAGTCCCAGCAGAAGCAGCCTCAGGGTTTGTCACAGCAGCTTCCGTTTCTTTTCCAAAGCTCTCAGGCAAAGGAGGAGGCTGTGAACAAACACACCAGTGTGATACAGTCCACGGGACTGGTTCCCAATGTGAAACCTTTGTCCTTGGTACATCAAGCCAAAAAGGAAACCTATTTAAAACTCGTAGTTCCTTCCCCTGATCTACTCAAAGCAGGGAATAAAAATACCTCTGAAGAATCTCTCTCTCTGACCAGCGATGTAAGATCGAAACGGGTGAGTGAAGAAACACTTGTTTTCTATTGATTGTAACCTGTGTTGCCTGCCTAACAAGATGCAAGACGCTGTCAAGATGTTTTAAATACAGTGTTTTAAAATTATACGTATGTTTATTTTCATATCATGGCTTTTTGACGTGCTTTTAGAGTGGATTTCTGAATGATGTAAATGAATGAGTTGTGTGGGTAGTGTTTATTCTGAACTGTGGTGGTTGGGGTTTTTTGTCGCTGTTTGTTTTGTTTTCTTAAAGCAGTAAATATTATGCTTTAATTTTAGAGGTGATTCACTGTACAAGTGCCCTGAACTATTCCATAACTGTCTCAGAGGAAAGTCACCTATGTGGTGGTGCATGTGCGTGTACATGTAGCCCGGTGTGTGCAATCACATACATGAGTCACCAGTGCCTGTCTGGAGCTGTGTGCTCGCCCTGTGGGGCAGCTGCAGAGCGAGAGCAGTGGGTGCAGAGAACCAAGGGATTTTGTCATACATCTCTTATGGAGAATGAACAGCTGAAATCAGTATCAGAATAAGAAAAGCACGCATGGGGCAGTTGGGTGGCCTGGCTCTTCTTCCTGTGCTGCTCCTCGTTTCAGTCGGAGCAGTGATTTAATGCTTCCCATCTCTAGTATGTTACGATGGCTTCACTTTCTCTCAAGTTGGACAGATTAAATCAAAGTAATTAAAGTTACCTGTTTCAATGATGATTCTTAACAGAGTAGCTGAAAGAAAAGCTTTTTTTTAGAAAAATGTTTTATTTAATCTTGGGGTTTGTTTTTTCTTTAAAGACAGAAGGATGATCATGCACTGCTAGCCATTAAAACTCAGTGTGGCCACTGCAGTGAACCTGGGCTTCCTTTCACTGGTCAGACCTCTACAATATAAATGTGTACCTGTGTCTGCCTTAGCAGTTCTGGAGCTTACCAAATTCTGTGTAGATTCTCAGTTTGTTTATTTGGTTAATAGTGCTTATGCTGACTAGTGATGAGTTTTCATAATTTCTGTTTAGATTTGCATGGGGATTAGAAGAAAATAAAAATCTAGTGTTTTAGAAATGTTGAGGCTTGGGAGATATAGATAGATGGATAGAAACAAAGAAGTACATTTACCGAAGCAGGTTTCATTATTACAAACAAAGCTTGTTTTAAACTAAGTGGTACTGGTAAGAGTGACTTCAACCCGGCTTCACAGCCAAGTCCAGTCACCAGTGAGGACTGAAAAATAGAGAGTTAAAACAGCTATATTTCTGAAAACATATGTCTTTGCCAATGGAAGAGGCTGCTGCTGTCACGTTTGGGTGATGAGTCTTTGGCTGATGAGACGTCACCTGCTTCGTGGTCTGGTTTCTTTCAGATTTTCACTGGAAACAGGAGCTGTGTGAATGTTTATTTTACAGGTTTTCATAATTTCATATTCAGTTTTAAATGTTAGTACTTCAGAAATGTATTGTATTTGTTTTAATATTTAAAAATAGGTTTTAAATATGCTTCTTAGAGTTTAAATATCACAATACTTCTGAGTAATACCTTTTTCCCATGGTTTTTGATGAAATTTTTCTATGCCAACAGCCTTCTCTTGTTTTCTGCTGGTACTGCAGCCGTTAGTGTGTTGTGTTTACCTTGGGCCTTAAAATGACCAAACTACTAAAGCTGGTTTTACATTCAGTAATGAGATTTTATATGCTGAAATGAGTGAAAAACGGGTTTTTTCCTTTGGCAGTACATAAGAGTAGTCTCTTAAAAAATTCTGTATTCAGGATGCTTTATATCTCTGTGAAAATCACTGTCTAGAGCAATGTAGCAAGTGAAAAAGCTTCCCTACATAATTTATATCAGCTTCATCCTGAGTTCAGTTTGTCTTTTCCTATTAGATTTACAGTGAAGATCTTGAGAGGTTCTTACATCGCTTGTGGTTACTTCTCTCTGCTGCTGTAGCTGGCACCTACTTTGGACCTGCTAGAAATAGCGTAGCAGATGTTTGAGGTTTCATAGGGTTTACTGCCTAAATAAATCCACAGTGAGTTCCTCTGCCGTGTTTTTCCCTAGGAACAATACAAGCAGACATTCCCAGCAGCACAGCTCAAGAAGCAGGAGTCAAACAGGAGCCTGAAGAAGGTCATTGCAGCTTTGTCGAGCCCCAAGCCCACACCAGGTTCACCAGCTCATCAGAAACTCACGTCCTTGGAAAACAACCATTCCAACCCATTCCTGACAAACGCACTTTTAGGTAACCACCAACCCAATGGAGTTATCCAGAGCGTCATCCAGGAGGCTCCTCTTGCACTTACGACAAAACCGAAATCCCAGACCAAGGTCAATGAGAGTGCAGCCGTTTCCAGCAGTGCCCCCTTCTCTTTGCCAGTGAACTTGAGCACGTGCGGGAAAAAGCCAGCTGGTACCCGGACACCGGTGATGGCCTCTACCTCTCCTGTGATCCCTGGCTCAGGAAAGGATAAACCAGTCAGCAATAATGCAGTAAATGCAGTAAAAACCCAGCACCGCCTTCATTCTGCAAAGCTGGTGGTGGAGCAGTTCCGAGGGGTAGACTCAGATGCCCCCAGTAGTAAGGACTCTGACGACTCGAATGATGATGATGATGACGATGAAGATGAGGATGAGGATGATGAAGATGATGATTCTGATGATAGTCAATCAGGTGGTTTAACCTTTTTCATAGAAAAAGCAGAAACTTTACTTTTTAAAGTATTGAAAACATGCATTTCCCACTATATTTTAAAACTGAGTTAGGAAATGTTGGGGCAGCATGGTCCACACAGTCTCCTGCAGTTATTCGGTAAAGTAGCACGTGTCTCCCAGTCCCCCATTGTGTCACACCCAAAATCCTGTTCTGAGTGTCCCAATACCTGTTCATATGGCAGGGATGCTGTCAGCTGTCCTGTGTGTTGTACCCAAAATCCTGTTTTGGGTGTCCCAATACCTGTTCGTGTGGCAGGGGTGTGCTGTCAGCTGTCGTGTGCCGTGGCTCTGCAGTCCCCTGCCATCCAGCCCTACTGCCCAGCGCAGCCCAGGTCCTGCTCACTGCAGGGTGCTGGGGAGGATGGCGGGAGCAGGCTGTTGGTGATCGGTTGTTGTGGCAGGCAGGGCCCACCAGAACACACGTTCCCAGCCAGAGAAGGATGAGGCAAAGGCCTTCAGTTGACACGAGTGGCAAGAGCAGCATGTGTCCTGGCTGCATTCAGGAGCGGGGTCATAAGCAGCCAAGATAAAAGTACCAGGACACTTGTAAGGACTGCAGTGTTCATGGAGAGCATTCAGACTGCTTTAAAGACACTTAAGCAATTCAGAAAGGCAAGGCCCGTTGTAAAGAGATGACTGTATTCCCGGTCACTCCTTTCTCCCCTGTGTGGCCATGTCCCCTGGGTTCAGCTCCACCTTCACCTTTCTCCTTCCCCTCCCATCCACGCACCCCCTGCACTGTTCCTGGTTTCCCCTCAGAGCCGTAGCCTGTGCCAGTCCCTTCCCCTGTCTGTCCCTTGGCTCTTCCTTGCCCAGGTGGCCACACTTGCCATTCTGGCACCTCTCAGCCTGTGCCCAGCTCCACCGTGTACTTTCCTTCACTGCCTGGTTCACAGGGACTGTCTTTGCTGTGGCTTATCCTGGGGTAAACCGTCTCCTAAAATACTGTGGCTCCTGTCTCTCATTTCCTTGTGGAAAAACAAAGAATTCCATGTGAAAAAGCAGTGCGTTATCACACAGAATTACTTTATGCTGTCATATTTGTACTAATTTTTAAGTTTAGGTAGTTAATTATAACCTTCTGTTTATACTCCAGAGATGTTACTAAAAAAAAGACATTTAAGTGAGAAAAGCTGCCTGTTCAATGAAACAAAAGACTTTGCAAGTGCTAGAATTAAATGTGTTTGCCATTATTTATCAAATCATAATGTGCCCTTGCCACATTTCTTTTTTTTAAACAGAGTCTGACAGCAATTCGGAGTCAGATACAGAAGGGTCTGAGGATGAAGAGGATGAGGATGATAAAGATCAAGATGAATCAGATACAGACACTGAGGGAGAAAAAACCCTACTGAAACTGAATAAAACCTCATCCTCTGTGAAGAGCTCGTCCATGGGGCTCGCAGCTCACTCCACCCCACTTAACCTCCAAGTAGCAAAGACCCCGAGCTCTGCGCCAGCTGCCTTATGTCCCGAGTCCCAGCCTGCGGTGTTCCTTGGGACAGCACCGTCTGCTCTTACACCAAACACACACTGTGGTATCTGACCGTCTTTATTATAGTACCATGTAACGTCTGAGTGTCTGAGACCAGTTACAGGAGTAGTTTAGACTCTGGTGTCAAGTAAGCAGTGTTTGACAGTGAGAACAGCCCTTCACTGGCACAGCCTCCCCAGGGCTGTCGAGAGCCCTGTGGCGGGGGTTTTGGGATGTTGGACCAGGTGATTTTTGAGGTCCCTCCCGGCATGGGCTGTTCTTTGATCTGCTCATGGCTGTTTGCATTGAAATTGGTCAGCAGAGCTGCAGGGTCTCAAGACCTGAATGTTACACTTGGTTATTTTAGCTTACGTATTTATTTGAGAGACAGTAAGATGAAATAGCCGGTGTTGATATTTATGGCTTTAAAGCTTTTCATTATTTAGTCTTTGTTAATTACGATTTTATTCTAAACTATTTCTTTCTAATTTCTAGGCAATATAGTTTACATTCTGAATCTTCTATTTCTGCCCCTTCACAACACATTTAAGAACTGTATTTAGTTAAAATAGTACTTTATTCATTATTCTTTCAAAATTAGTAGTAGGATTTATGGTTTACATACAATGAATAATGTTTAAAAGGTTCATAAAAAGTATCTTTAGCATTTCCTGGGTGTTATATAGTGTTTATAGTCCTTCATTTGGTGACTGATTTGTAAGCTGCAGTGATTATTACTGCTACAGAAAAGGATGCATTTTAAAAAGTCACACTTCTCAACTTGCATGGTAACCCTTAAGTGAAATTGCATACTTACTACTTTGAATTAGAAACTTGATAATTAATTAACATGCAAGTCAGTAGATTTTAAACAAGGACCTCTAAGAATTAATTGTTTTTCGTATTTGGGTTCAGTGGAATAGGAATTTCACTCCATGTCACCAAGGATAGTCACTTTGAAGCAGTGTAATGTGATCTACTTCATATTTTTCCCAGAAACAAGCCTATTAATTGCAGTTTGTAAAAGATTTCCCATGCTTTAGGAGTAATCCAGACTGCTAAAATACAAAGTTAATTTTTTCCTTAGGAATCTGTGTTGATTTACGATACTTTGGAAAGGCTGGAGCAGACTCTTTCTGTTTCTGGAGGTGGGAGGTAGAATGGATGAATGTTGTGTCCTCGTTTAGGTGTGGTACTTTCTCCTGGTGAGAGTCTCTGTGGTGCAGTGACAGTATTTCTGTGTGCGTTCTGCCTGAAGCTGGTCAGTCACTGCGCAGGACTCGTTCCTCCGCGCCCCGGCACGGGCAGTGCCCGGTGCTGTCTGTGGAGCACCTCCAGCAGTGGCTCCTCGCTGTACCCTGTCCCCTCGCTCCCGACAGGCGCTGCTGCCTGCGAGGCCTTCAGGGCCCCAGGGGTTCAGGCTGCTGGTGATGCTCTGGGGTCCGTGTCCACAGGAAGAGGAGTCTGCTCTTCACACGAGGTCCAAAGCACCTCTGTGAGAAGTGCATCTGCCAAAGTTTGCTGGTGCACACAGTTCACATCCAGCAGCTCCCATCAGCCTGTGGTGCTCCCTAAAACCCCGTGTTTGACGCTTGTCTCTGCTGCCGTTGATTCGGTCTCAACCCGCGCCAAACGCAACGTCTGTGTGAACAGCTGGAATAACCCTGAAAGTGTTCTGCGTGTGGCAGCTGACTGCACTCTGCACGCTGCGCTCTTGGAAGGCGTAGCCTGTTACAGTGTGTGGATTTTCAAAGTAAAGGATGTTTTCATTTTCATCTTCTGTGTTGGGAAAAAATGTAAATATGGTCTGGTATAGAAAAAATATAAAAATGGTCTGGAATAGATAAACAGGTGTGCAGAGAATTATTTGAACGATATCTGAGCACACCAAGCAAGGCAAACAGTTCATTATGGCAGAATTAGGTTTTCTTCTGTTTACAATTTTAGAAGTAGAGGTTAAAGGAAACTTAACGGAAAATGCATTTCAAAAGGAGAACAGTTACACTGGTTTTCTTGGTACATGAGGTTTGTAATGGCTAGAATGTAAAAATTTATGTTTTGGTTTGGGCACACAATGATAAAAATCCGTTTTAGGAACGTGGTGTTTTCATTTTATAAATTCTCTGAGGTATTAATCGGAAATTCTATTTTAGGTATTTCAAAAAGACGAAGGGTAACAGATGAGCGGGAGCTGCGAGTTCCTCTAGAATACGGGTAGGCGATGCATACACTTGGTATTCCTTAAAGGGAGATAACACCTTCAAATGTCAGTTTGTACAGAAATGGCAGGTTAAAAACTCTGAGGCTGAATAGTAAGGAGAGGGCTTGAACGATTTGTGTTTCCAGCTGACGGTGAATGAATCCGTTACAAGTGTTGTATTTTATGTGGTATCTCTTTTAAATCAGATTTGCTGATTTGCAAACTTGACCTGTCTCTTACCAGTTTTGCTGCTGGGAATTAATCCTGTTGGTTAGATCTGAGCCAGTACAGGCTCCAAATAACTCCCAGAAATGTAGTTGTAAGCTGTTTAAAATCCAGTAATAGATAAGTAGCTTGATATAAGTAAATCCATATGCAGTCAGAGTTTGGACAGTCACTTCATAACGATTCCTGGGTTCATCTGTTTGATTTATGATACTCTTGTTACATTTTAGATGTGTGCCTTTTTCCTTTTATGTAAAAATCTTACATTGACATTAGTTCCTTGTTGTTTAAAAAGCGTGTTTCTGTATGCACCTGTTTGATGTTGCTGTAGGTGGCAAAGAGAAACCCGTATACGAAACTTCGGCGGTCGTCTCCAAGGAGAAGTAGCGTATTTTGCGCCCTGTGGGAAGAAGCTGCGGCAGTATCCTGAGGTGGTGAAGGTACGTGCCTTTCTTAGCTTCTGCTTTCTAATGCTAGTGAGCATGCTTGCAATTAAAAATGCCATTTTTTTTCCCTCCAATAAAGATACTTCAAAATGTCCTGTGTCGTGAGGCGTAATGTATCTATCTCAGTCTATTACTGATTTGACCTCCTATAAATGCATACCCTTTTGACCGAATATGCAGAACGTTACACTCACAAAGTTAGCTGTACGTCAAAGCTGGGTTGTAATTATTTACAAGCTGAAGTGGAAAAATATGTGATTTTTTCAGTATCTCAGCAGAAATGGAATAATGGATATCTCAAGGGACAATTTCAGCTTCAGTGCAAAAATAGGAGTGGGTGACTTCTATGAAGCCAGAGATGGACCGCAGGTATCCGCTTTTTAAAAAGTAAAGTCTTTAATCCGAGGAACATTAACTTAAATTTAGGTGAAGTAATTTTTGCTACAGTCTGAAGCATTGTCTGTTTTTAGGTAATTATTTCTAAGAAATGTGCTTATTTCTCAATAGTAGTTGTATTGCGATGCCGAGACCTTGGTCCGGGGCGGTGCTGACAGCCGCTTCTCTGGGTGGTTTGGCTGTGCCCTGTGCTCAGCTCTGAGCTGGGTTTGTGCAGTGCAGCAGCTCTGAGCTGCACGTGTGATCTTAGTCAGGCTGCAGATACTTGTGACTAAATCTGTTTCTTCCTTAATATCGATAGTAATGTATGTGTATGTGTTCAATCACGCTCTTTTCATGTGTTCATGTGCATAATGTATATAAGTTACACCAGGTATGCTTTACAGTGGTAGAGCTGTTCGACGTCCTGAATATGTTACTGCGGGGAACGTGGACAGACGTCCTGCTCGCAGCAATGGTGATTACAGGCTGTGATTAAGCCTTACGTCCTTGTGATACCGTGTAGAAATATGTAACGTTTACACAGTGCAAGTTTGAAAGCAATAAAGCTGAGCTCGTAGCAAGGAGCTGCTTCTGGGGGGTGCTTCCTGACTGCTGGCTTATGGAGAAACCATCGCTGATCCTGCTGCATGGCTGCCTTCCCAAAACAGCAGCCACGAGTCCGTGTGGCTGTGAACTCACTGTGCACCTGAATGGCCTGATTAAGTAATTCCTTATGCTGTGAACATCACGCAATGCCAGCGTATCTGCTCTGTGTTTGCCCTGCTGCCTTTCCTGTGTCTGTTGCCCATATTACTTCTTTAGTCTTTCCCCTCCTCCGGTTACCTCTTTCTTCTCCTTCAGTTCATGAGGCCATTTGCAGATGTTGCTTTTCTTTGGTACTACAAACCTTCAAAATGAAGGCATCGCGAAGGGCAGGTTTCTGGCAGTGTGAATATTAAATTGCTGTGCATCTCCCTGTAGTTTCCACTTGTATCATTCGTGGTAGGTTCATGGGGACTTGGTTAGACAAATGAAAAGGTTTCTTCTGGGAAAAAAAAAAGGGTGTAAAATTTTAAAGTTTATAATGTAAACAGTTGAGCTGCGCTGCGGCAGAAATACGCCCTGGTAGAACAGTCCATGGTACCGGTGCTGCAGGATCTGAGGGACTTCCTGAACCCTGGCTGCTCCTCTGTTCTGAGTTCTGCTTTGCCTCCCCAGCTCCTCTGGCACCTGCAGCTTTGGGATGAGAGTTCCTGGATGGGGTTGGTGTAGGTGGTGAGCGCAGTGTTGAATCCAGCGCACACTGCTCAGCAGACTGAGCTGCCATAGGTTGTCAGTCATGTACTGAAGAGTGGAGTGAAGAGTATGCCTGGTAGTACCCAGAAAGATAGAACATTAATGGATTTCTCTTTCAGTGGTGAAGGTAATTATCCGAGTTAACAAGTCCGTAGTGATGCTGTGCTGTGCGCAGGGCCATGGCTGTGGTTCTGGACAGCTCGGGCATGTCTGTGAGCTGAGATGTGCTCCTGGGGTGCTCCTAACAGAGCAATTCAGACCTAAACACGGTGCTTTTGCAGACATCGAGAGCTTCCTTGGAACCAGAATGTTACACAGCAAAATGCCCTTGCTTTTGTTGAATCTTATATTGAAGATTTGTAATACGAAGAATGAGCAGAAAGAATTAAACGATCAGTTGTCAGAATAAGCAAATGAAGATGTATTTTATGGTACAGCAAATGATTTCAATATTTATGTACATCTACATGTGAAAACTTTGGTGATGCAGATGTATTTTTTCTGAAGATATTTTTAATCAATGTGTTTTACAAGTTACCAACTTTCGTTCTTGCTTTAGCAGACATTCTCTAAATCTTTACAGACCTTTTTAAGGCAAATTATGGAGTAGTCCTGGAGGATGCTTAGCTTACATTTTTCCCCTGCATTTTTAAAAATCCTAGGAAAATGGTAAAAGATGTTACAATGTTGAGACGCTCATGTTCAGTAAGACAGCGTTGGGTAGATGAGCTCCTGTTCTGCTGAGCAAACGCGAGAAGTTCTAGTTCTGTCAGCTAAAGTAAAGCAATTTCTGTCTGAGGACTAACGTGGATATTTGTATTAAAGTATTTCAGTATTTGTTTGTGAGATTCCACATAAAACCAGTAGTAGCAGTGAAGAACAGGTTGAACGTATTGCTGCGTACCTTGTTTAGTTAGAGAGTCCAGTTACCAAAACTTCTAGTTCAGATGGATGGGATCTCAACAGTTAGAACTTCTGATTGCTTCAGAACTTAATTTTCTTCTAGTGGATGAAGGAGCTAAACTGTACTGAATAAAACTTGACCACTTAAACGAGTCTTTGTTTTTACAACTGTGCTACAACACCCAGAAAGGAACACTTGACATTGTGCTGCCGCATTGGCATGTTCTGCGTGTCAGGATTTCGGCAGGGGGACGCTCGGGGGAAGCTGACCCGCAGCTTCACATTGACCAGTGCGTTGTGTGAAACCAGAGTGATTATTTCTGAGGTCACATCAGGAGGAATCTGTTTTGCCTCTTGGAAAGGACTGAGCAATAACTGATTTGGTCAGAAATAATTAAAAATAACACAGTAGTGGCATCCCTGCTGTATTAGAATGTCACTGCATAGTCTTCAAAATCCTGTATAGTCGTGCACATGACAGAAGTTTGTAGTAGTAAATTTTCAGTATATAGCTTCTGTGCATCATTAAAATATTGTACTACCCAAACAGTGCAGCACAGCTCTTGCGTATTTTATATTTAAATAACTTACCGGGATGAAAAAGCCCAGACATCTCTTGCTGTTCATGTTCCTAAGCGTCTTGGATGGATTTTTCCTGTTTAGAACCCGTGTTTGTGACGCCTGTCTGTGACTGTGTCCATTAAAGGGTGTGCAGTGGTGTCTCCTGAAGGAAGAGGAGGTCGTTCCCCGCATCAGGGCCATGGAGGGGCGCAGAGGACGGCCGCCAAATCCAGACAGGCCGCACTCCCGCGAGGAGGCGAGGGCGCGGCGGCGCAAAGGGCGCCCCCCCAACGTCGGCAGCACCGAATTTCTGGACAACACCGATGCAAAGCTCTTGCGGAAGCTGCAGGCTCAAGGTAAGGCGTTACTGGTTTACGAGCAGATGGTATCGGTATTCGGTGTTTTTTTCTGAGGAGGAGTGATGGGTTTCACTAGGATATGGGTATGCTACATTTTAGCTTGGAGATTTGTCACGTGCTTTCATCGAAGGCTTTTTCAAGATACAGGATTCAAAGGAAGAAGTGTGTGTGTAAATGCATGTCTAGGAGCTTTCTCTATAGATTATTTCGATCTATAAAATTTAAAAAGCATATGTCCAATAGCGTTGTAACCCCTGATTTATTTTTTAAATTGTCAAAAATTAACAGATCTTTGTTTACCCCTGAGCTCAAACAAAAGTGGGCATAGAAATTTAATTGAGCGTCACTGAGGTTAGCATTTATGTGAGGCTCTTGGCTGTTCCAGGAAATTACCTTTCCTTTGGAATCCCTGACAGTGACGAGATGTGGATGCTGTGAGGATCCTGCGGTACCGGTGTTGAGAGCAGAGCTCTCACGGCACCCAGTACTGCTGCACGTCCAAAGCACGAGGGCTGGTTTTAAATAAACATCAGGTTCATGACTTTGAACCTCAGTTCTTCACTCCATAACCGTGTTGTATTTTCAGCATGCATCTAATCCAAAATGAGGAGCTCTTACAGCCCAGGGGTCAGGACGTTTCTCTCAAATTAAGATTTAGCTGTTCCTTTACATGCAGGCGTGTTTGCATGGCTGCCTTGTGCTTTGCATAGTGCCCTGGTAACAGTACGTGTGCCAATATCTTTACTGTTGGTCAGTACTGCTTTTATGAACTTAATATTTTACCTTTGTAACAGAAATAGCCAGGCAAGCAGCACAAATAAAGCTACTGAGAAAACTGCAGAAGCAGGAACAAGCTCGAGCCGCCAAAGAGGCGAAAAAGCAGCAAGGTAAGTGTTGTTACTTGTCGAAGTATGTTTCATTTTGAGAAGTCTGAATGAAAAGGTACCTATTCTGCTGAAACTCATTTCTTGTTTGCTTTTCTTTGTTAGCCATTATGGCAGCTGAAGAAAAGCGAAAGCAAAAGGAGCAGATAAAGATAATGAAGCAGCAGGTAAACTCGATGTGATTGCTAAATAAGCTCTTTAAATCATGGTTTGAATTACTCACTGTAGCTCAAGCTGCTTTTTTGAGATGGCAAAACCTCAAATACATGTGCTAAGAAATTTTTAATACGAGTTATTAATATTTAACAGATAAAACCCTTGCAGCACAGGAAATATGAACTAATCCCAAAGTTTGCGATGATTGCATTTCTAAATCAATATAATAAGACTTTATTCAGATTTTAGGAACTAATTCCTGGAAAAGAGTAAGTCAGAGTATGGTTACACTGCATCCATCTGTGGAGTGCTTTGCGTGGCTGTTTTCTTGCTAGCACGATGAAACACACTGAAATGCATTGCACTGCCTGTGGCAGCCGTGTCGGTTACTTTTTGTTATTTCACTCTTTGGTGTGTATAAAACTGTCCCTAAATTACAAATCAGGGCATCCAAGCTCATCATCAATTACCTGAATGCTTTAAAAGTCTGGAGAAACCGAGGTGTGCTGGGTTGTGGATCTGTGAGCCCGGTTGTCACGGGCACTTTGACATGGGCACCCACACATGACTGGGTGTTGGCTCCTTTGGGGATATGTGGACATCTCTTAATGCTCAGGAAAATTCATGGGAACGTTGACTACACTGGGTGTGAAACTGCACTCAAAAAGTGTACATGTGTAAACTTTAACATTTTTCAGAATATAAAAGTGAATTTACTTTCTCAGTATTGTTTTTTTTTTTCAAAGAAGTAACTTTCTCCCCCTTGTAGGAAAAAATTAAGCGAATCCAGCAAATCAGAATGGAGAAAGAACTTCGAGCTCAGCAAATTTTAGAGGTAAAAATGATGGCTCAAATGCGATTTCTGTGTTGCCATTTTAAAGAAGGTTTTATCTCAGTAATAACACATACAGTTAGGAATGTAAGTAAATAAACAGCTCTGATAACCTGGACCATCAAAGGCCAGTTCAAAAATGTGTCTTCAAATATTTTTCTTGAAAAAATTATATTAACTGTGATCCAAATCTTGCAAATGTTCATTTGAGTTCCTGACTTTCTACACAAAAAGCCTTGTATTTGCTCAGGTTAACAGCCTGATATTCCTTTGGTAGAAAGCAAGTCTGCAGTAATCAGAGGATGTTCAAGCAGTCCTGTGCTCTGCTCTATGTGAAGTGCAGTGGGTTTAAAACACAGTTCAAACATATCCCTGAATTTACCAGTGTACCGGCAAAGATAAATTGCTGGTTTTCAAGTCCCCATTCATGGAAAAGTCATTTATAATCTTATTGCCATTTATATTTTATTGTTTCTGTGTATACTTTCTTAGTTACAATAGCCAGGTGAAGCAATTTTGAATGGGGCTTAAAATTCTGGCTTAGTTTTTAAAAAGTAAATGAATTGTGATTTGACTGATTATGAAAGCTGCATCGGGGAAGCAATCTGTTGCAATACACATGATCCCCGATGATGTTTTGAACTTTTAAAGGCACGTAGCTTTATTTCTAGTCAGGTTTTTCCAGGTTGTGATGATGCTGTTGTATTGTTTGGATGCGTAGGCAAAAAAGAAGAAGAAGGAAGAAGCAGCAAATGCCAAATTACTGGAGGCTGAAAAGCGAATAAAGGTGAGTGCAGAGGAGCTCCAAACCCAAGAACTGTGTTATCGCATGTGCTGTATGTTGATGTATAAAAGCAGTAAATTTGGGAGAATACTCAGATAATTAAACTGTAAATAGAGATGGCATATAAATAACGTGTATACACCTTTATAGAGATACATGAAGCACACACAGGAGTTTGTGTATATGTTACATACACACATGTACATATGTGCACTTATGAGTACACAGAACCACAGTTATTTTTTGTGTGCCATTACCATGAATTTTGTTTACGTGATGCTTGGTTTGCATAACCTGAAAATGCTCATGCAGTAACGTTATTCGCTATATTGTTTTAAGCACACTGTATCAAAAAGCTTTGTTTCTTCTCAACTAGCATAGCCTATACATAGGCTGTGTGCACACAACCATGGAACTCTTACAAACCTGAGAACACGCGGTTTTCAGATGTGCTGTGGTGTTCTTGGGTGTTTTGACTTGGGTCTCGCTGTCCCGTGTGCTGTGCACAGCTCCTGTGTCAGGTTATGGGGGAAAGGAAGAGTTTAACGCAGGTGTGCTCTGTGCTCTGGTGTGGCAGAAATGTGCCACTTGGGAAGCAAGTATTGGTAGACATTTAAAATAGGTTTCTGTTCCTGTGTTTCAGGAGAAAGAGATGCGAAGGCAGCAGGCTGTTCTGCTGAAGCACCAGGTTGGTGTGCGCTCAGGCGACCCCACAGACCAAATGCCAGTTGTGAACTGTGGCTTGAGCTGTAAGGGAGGGGGCGGAAATCTTCAAAATGTGCCCTTTTTAAATTCCTGGGTTTGATTCCTGCACAGATTTTCTTTCACCTTATGATTTGTTGCTTTGCTTCGGTATTGGGGTCTTTTGGGGGATTATGAAGTGGTTTTATGACTTTGTGATTTCTGTTTCATAATGTTGTGCCAACTCTTTCTACCAGGAGTTGGAGAGGCATAGACTAGATATGGTATGGGTATGTTTATTTTTGTACATCTAACACCGCATTGTGATTTGGTTGTGATATGGTTGTCATAGCAATGCATAAAATGTAGCACTGGCTGCTGTCATATTACATACTGCTGCATGGCTTTACAGCACAGTGCATTGCATACATCTGCTTGTCTTGTCTGTCCAGGGAAAAAGAGACGTGTCTTGCACATGTGTGTAAATTCAACACGGCAATAAATAAGTGAGGCTTTTAAGTGGAAATCTGTGGTATTGATGTCCCAGTAGAAATTGGACTACTGTATAAAATAAGGCATTAATTAATGCAAAATTAATAGGTAGTCAAATAATTTTTGCAAGCCTTGTCCTTGTCCCATTCACTGGGAATGAATCCAGACACTTGAATACAATTAATTAAACTTTTTTAGAAATCAGGATGATGTCTTTCCTAAGTTTGTAAGGTACTGAGGAAATCAGCTCTCAGTCAGTGGTAAATACCTAATGCTATACAGTAAAATGTTAGAATGTAGTCTTAGCCTCACTGAATTAGGTGATGAAATTCCCGTAGCCTTTACTGGGGCTGAGATGTAACCTGCAGCTCTTAGGGCAAAAGTCCCGCATTAAGGCTGTAGAACGCAGCTCGCTAACGCGTGTGGAGTTACTGACGTGACCTCTGAGGGACAGGCACCAGTAAACGCGAGTGTGGTTGTGCGTGTATATGCGCCAGCACTGGCTTGATTGAAAACATCTAGAGCTGAGAAAATTATTTTATCATAGCAATCTGTGGCCTGGTTACAAAAACGATAATATTTGCAGTGTTTGAAAATGACCAGTTTAAAATTTCTGCTGATTTGGCTATTGAAGAAGTAGATTGCAAGTTCGCAATAGCAGATGTAAGGTAACTGGCCTGTTCCAGCCAACCATTATGCTTTTTGTTCTGCCAGCTTATGAAGGAGCATCACAACTGACCATAAGTAAATCTGTATGCTTCTTTTTTACACTGTCTCCATGTTCATTGCTTTACCTTTTTGCTTTTGATTGTTCTTGTATTTGCTTTCTAAACCTGAACTAAAACATGCACAGACTTGGCCATTCTTGTCCTATATTTAGTATTTACTGTGACTTGTCTATTAATGCTAAATTTGTTACTCAGCTTTTTTAATGATTTGAAGACATGGATTAGTTTTGTTCTAATATTACCTGCTTCAATAGGAACGAGAACGGAGAAGACAACATATGATGCTTATGAAAGCCATGGAAGCACGTAAAAAAGCAGAAGTGAGTATTAACTTAATTAAAGTTTGAAGTTTCGTGGTTTCATTCTGCAGTGATCTGTAGAAGAGCAGTGTCTTTGGTGCGCCTCTGTGTAAAATTTCATGTGTATACTTGGTGTTATCAGGAAAAGGAGCAATAGGCACAAACTGAAATACAGAAAATTCTGTTTGAACTTAGGAAACGGGTGGTGGTTGAGCACAGGCAGCCGGGGAGGTGTGGGCTCAATCCCCTGTAGCTGATGCTGCTGGGAAAACATGACCACGGGCACAGGACACACACGGGGACGAGTGAGCTCATGAGGTCCCTGCCTCCTCAGGGCCCTGAGTGAGAAGTCAGTAATTGCATCCACGCTGCAGAGTCCTGCAAAGGAAGCTCTGTTTTCTCTTTTCATGTTGCTGTGTGTAAGAGTAAGGACCCCATCAGGCCGACTTGTCAGACTGCTGGGCAGCTTCCCTCAGGACTGATCCAGGGGTAAAAATCCACCTCTTGTTCCAGCCCAGGCTTCTTAGAGCTTGTGGATTCTGTAGGTGGTTCTAGGTATGGACCACGACAAAACCAAGCAAGTCAGATTATTATGCCTTACTGATTTTATTTTTTCAGTAGAAAGTACTGCTGGCTACAGAAAATAGATGCTTCATCTCTTGTTTTACTATAAAATATGTCAGAAATTCTGAACCAAGAGGCAGAGAAGCCTGAAGTCCCAAATGTGTATGTGTCATTTTGGGTGCAATCGTTTTACTCCGTCCATCTCTGAATTTAGTTATTAAACTTTTTTTAAGAGACTGAAGTAAAAATAACCATTGCTGTAGGATCTAGTTCAGAGAAATCTAAGTGAAAGTGAGAGGCCAAATCAAGGAAAGATTAAGACCACATCTGCAATCTTGTGTGCAGTGCTGGGCCCTCAGCTCAAGAAGGACAGGAACTGCTTGAAAGAGTCCAGCAGAGCCACAAAGATGATGAGGGAGTGGAGCATCTCCTGCTGAGGAGCGGCTGAGGGAGCTGGGGCTCTTGAGCTTGGAGCAGAGGAGACTGAGGGGTGCCCTCATTCCTGGGGATCCATTTGGAAAGGGCAGTGTCAGGAGGAAGGAGCCAGGCTCTGGAATGTGATGTCAAATGCCAGGACAAGGGGCAATGGTCCCAAGCTGGAGCACAGGAGGTTCAAGCTGAAGAGGAGGCCAAAGTTTGTGAGTGTGAGGGTTCTGGAGCATGGCCCAGGCTGCCCAGAGAGGTTGTGGAGTCTCCTTGTGTGGAGACACCCAAAGCCCTGGCCGTGTTCCTGTGTGACTGCTCTGGTGCTCCTGCTCTGGCAGGGGTTGCACTGTGGGAGCTTTCCAGGTCCCTTCCAACTCCTCATATTCTGTGATTCTGTGGGAGAGGTGTTGGGATGCTGTTCACCTCTGCAGCTCAATCAGAGTTCAGGCTGAAGAGTGCTGTGAAGGACAACAAAAAGGGCTTTTAAAAATATGTTAACAGCAGAAGGAGGATTGAGGATAACTTTGGTTTGTTACTTGATGAGGTCAGCCAGATCACAAGCAGGGATATTGAAACAGCAGAGACGTTTAATGCCATCTTTGACTTTAACACCGATGGTGGGCCCAGGGATGCCCGCAGCCCCGTGTTGGATGATCATGACAGGGATGAGAAACTCCCTGTTGGTTTCCTGCTGCAGGACAGGGGAGAGAAAGGGAATCTGAGTTGCTCAGAAATGAGATGATTTTGTTCTATTTCTGTAGTTCCCCTTTCCCTGTACTTGAATGCATGTTCCTTAATTGCTGTGGTAGTTACTAAGATTACATAAGGAGTGCTTTTCAAATCCTTAGATTGTTCCTTTGTAAGTATAATACGTGGGTTTTATTTTCTGCACTTTTAATTCTATTTAAGGAAAAGGAGCGATTGAAGCAAGAGAAACGCGATGAAAAAAGATTAAATAAAGAACGTAAACTGGAACAGCGAAGATTGGAATTAGAAATGGCAAAGGAGCTGAAGAAGCCCAATGAAGATATGTGCTTAGCAGACCACAAGGTAACCCTGAAAACGTGACCTTACTCCCTTGCCTCTTGTTTCTGTATTTTGCCATTGTAACAATAACTTTTCTCTTGCAGCCACTTCCAAAGCAGTCGAGTTTTGGTCTAGATAATCAGATAACTTTTTGAAATATATACAAATACAAGATACTGTGAACACTAAAGTGGCGTATCTTTAGTTAATTACAAGCATTTTGTTTAAAGGTGGCCTGCTTCCCAAAAAGTGTTTGCACGGTTGCTTCAGAAAACCAACCCAAAACTTGAAAGGGTTTTGCAGCAGGGATCTGGTGGTGTCTCAGCAGAGGGCACGGACAGAGCTTTTCCCGCATCTGTAGGCTGTGACTCTGCCATCTTCTGCATTCCCAGTTCTTGTCCTTCAGGTTCAGTCCCTCTCTATTCCAGAGAATTCCTCCCCCTCTGTCCCCCAGGTATTTTTACACCACCTTTTGTAGTATTTTGACTCATCATAGAGCCTGAGAGCACCTTCTGGCCGAAAAGTAAGTTTTTTATGAATCTGTTGCCTCCTACATACATGAAGAGGTAAATGTGCTTTAAATTAAACTTGCTGGATTGAATGGAGGCAACTTTTCTGCAGCCTTTACCTTCTCTAGTGTTGTCATGCTGTACGTCACGTAGAAGGATCAGCCAGTTCCCCAGGTAAAGAAGTTTTCTTTTGAAATACCCACTGAAACTCGTTGTTTTTCTGTCCTTCTCAGCCTTTGCCAGAGCTGCCGCGCATTCCTGGCCTGGTTCTGGATGGCAGCACGTTTTCAGACTGTCTGATGGTCGTGCAGTTCCTGCGCAATTTCGGTAAAGTGCTGGGCTTCGATGTGAGCGTGGATGTCCCCTCCCTGAGCGTCCTTCAGGAGGGGCTGCTGAACATCGGGGACAGCATGGGAGAAGTACAGGACTTGCTTGTGAAGCTCGTTTCTGCAGCCATTTGTGACCCAGGACTTGTCACAGGATACAAGGTAAAAGAAACCCACAGCAAACACCCTGTATTGATGGCTGCATCTGTCAGCAATGCAGTGACTCCTCTCTGGGTTGGATTTCCATTCTCTTTCCCAATTTTTCTCTGAGGTATCGCTACTCTAACGTTACTCAGAGACTTTCTGTGCCCTGTCAACCCTCCTGTTTTCGAGAAGTGATACATTTCTGGGCATTTTCTCTACCCTCCCCATTTTTATGTGGACCTCTTGTAGGGCACTGTCACATCTGTGGCCACGTCTTTCAACTCTTTTTTTCTGTTCATTCTTACACTCATGTTCCCAGTGAATCTTGACATTTCTTTCTCCAGAGTCTGCTCTGTGTCACTTCATCAAAACTCTGATTCATTCATGTTTCTTTCTTACTGTCCTTTCTCAAGCCCACGTAGCTCTTACCATGGCTACACATCATGTTGTACTAAAGTGTTCATGAAGTTCCAATTGGGCTGTGTTGTTTTTCCTTTAGCCTTTTTCATTAACATTATCTCTGCTCTCAAAACCTTAGGAGGTGAGGACATTCTTATTGTTACTCTATACAAGGTTTATGTCTGAACAGTTTTAAAGAAAAACCCTGATTAAAGTCCTTATGTGAAAACACAAAGAAACCCACCCCACTGTCTTATAAACAATAACATAGCAGAGGAAAGCAGTATTTTAAAATGTGATCGTTCAAAGTGTCTTCATTCTTTTTAGGCTAAAACCATTCTTGGGGAGCACTTGCTGAACGTGGGTGTGAACCGAGACAACGTGTCCGAGATCCTGCAGATCTTCATGGAGGCGCACTGCGGGCAGACGGCACTGACCGAGAGCCTGAGGACCAAAGCTTTCCAGGCACACACCCCGGCTCAGAAAGCATCGGTGCTCGCTTTCCTGGTCAACGAGCTGGCCTGCAGCAAAGGTGTAGTGAGGTGAGTCTTCCCAAACACGCCTCTAAAAATCAGAATATAAAAACGTTATAGCTCAGAAATACTGCATACTGTTCTGTTACAGGAGGATTCTTAGTGTTCTTATAATGGAAGTTGAAATTTGCGGTGTTACTGCTTCTTGCCTGTATGTGCTTCTGATTTGATGGAATAGTACAAGTTTTCCATATTTGGTCTATAAGTCTATTTTTAAAGCTTGCACCAATATTTCTCCAGCTATTTTCGGAGTAAAAGGTGAGGTTGATTACGAAGAAATGTACTAGATAATCTAGGGAGTAATTTAGGAGAGTTGAGTAAGGCTGCTGTAGGAGTCTGGTTTCCCTTTTTTCACTTTGTTTTTAAGACCTCTTTTGTCGAGATGCTTAAACCAGGGCCATGAGCTGAGGTGGGGATGTGTCAGAAGTCGCGGTGCTGAAGCCCTTTTTCGGTTCTTCGGTTTCCGCAGTGAAAAGCGAGTGTTATTTTGCATCTCAGAACCCATAGGTGTCCCAGGAATAACTCTTGTGTTCAGTGCAGGGCTGGATGCTTTGTGGCAGATACATTGAGGGGCTGGATATTGAATTAAAACCATGGAAAGAAATCGCAGAACTATTTGAATTACAATGTTCTTATGGAAAGAAAGCTTATGTGATGCTGTAAATAAAGACATGGGTACAGGCAGTACGCTGCACCAGCACTCCTAGGATTGAAATTTTCTGGCTTTAAAATGATTTGTTTTGAATTTTAAGCATTTCTCCTAGATAGTTCTTTGAGACAAAGTATCTGTACATAAATGGCTGTCAGAAAAAGATGTGTAAGTTCACGGTTAATGGATTATTTTATCTTTGACAGTGAAATTGATAAAAACATTGATTATATGTCAAACTTAAGGAGAGATAAATGGATGGTTGAAGGCAAACTTCGGAAGTAAGTCTCATTTTTCTTTAATACTACAATATATTGCTTTATTGCATTTGCTCAGATGTGCTGCTGTGTAGACAAATGTTTCTAAGGACAAAATTAGCTGATGCAATTACAGGTTCACCAAGAAGTTAGTAACCAAACTGCTAATTAAGATGGCTGTGGGTTTAGAATGGCGCAGCACCAGTCTACAGCCTGTGTCCCTCAAAACTGGGGCAAAGCCAAGTCTGTTTTGTATTCTTTGAAAGAAAGTGATTTTTTAAACTGGAGTGTTACTGGAGCTGTCAAATCGCTGTTGATAATATCAGTTTTAATTGGGACCCACCATGATCACCAGTGTTCGTTCTGAAAGGTGTTTTAGGAAGCCATGGTTTTCATACAACAATTACCAATTGAATTTTGCTGATTTATATCGTGTTACCTTTGTGTTTCCCATCTGTCAGTGTTGCATTGTTCCCTGTAGGTAGGGATCATGTGTAGAATGCAAACTGCGATGTATTTTTATATTTGATCTGAGGTGAGATTTGAGGGTTTTGAGGGTCAGTTCGTGTCCACTGGTCTCCCATGCTACAAGACAAAATTCCATACAGCAAGAGCAGCGGCTCCAGCCACGGGAAGCCAGAAGGCACCAAGTCTGTGAATCACGGGGGGTGAAAAGACGTAGCCAGGCTCTGCGCGCTTGCTTTGCTTGAACATCTTCACCTCATACTGGGAACAGCGAATCCTTTCTCAGCCCTTGCTTTAGGGGCTCGTGTTTCTAATCTCATGTCTCCCTTTTTTCCCTTTAATATATCACGGAAGAAGGAAAGAAGTCAAGAAGAAGGACAAGAGGGAGGTAGACTAATAAAAAATTCTCTACTAATACTGCAGATCCCAGTCTGCACAGGGTTTACAACTTATTGTTTAGGACAATCCGAATACCTTTTCCTGTCTTCATCTGTATCCCCTCTATGGGATGTAGTGTAAAAGTGTTTCTGCAGTTCTGATGTGGGACCCTTCTCCGTCCTTGTTTCCCTGGGGACGGCTTAGTCCTCTCTCCCTCCATCAAACTGTAAGTACTTGTAGACGTAGGATCCTCCCTTTCTTCCCCTTCAAGTAGTGGGCTCAGCATCCTGAGCCTTTCTGCAGCCACTTCTGTTTCTTGTGTTTTCCCTCGTGCGTGGATTTTGCATTCCAGCAGCGCTGTCCTTATTTTGGAGTGTAAGTATCGCAGAGTGCTCAGAGACAGTGACTGTCCTTCGCCTCTTCGGATTCACCTCTCTCGTCTTTGCTTCAAAATCCTTGGATTTGCCACTGTTTTTCTGATGAGGAAGCTTTTATCAATTTTAAACAGTGTTTTCTTCTTCATGAGGCCTGTTGGTGTTTTTCATGAACTCTTGCAGCTGTTCTGGGGCTTCTCTGAAAAGAAATGTCCATTTCCGTCTTCTGTTTGGTCTTTTTTCTGCTTCCAGACCTCATGCTTATGCATGGTATCATCCCCATCCGTTGCAAAGCTCGGTCTGGTTTTTAGGCATCCCAGTTTGCACAGTTTGGTTTCTTGACCAAACCTTGACATGGCCCCAGCACAAGCCCATGTAGTGCAGAATAAGGGATGCTGAGGAGTGAGATAATTGCTGCTATGTTTGCCACGGTTTGCTGTGTGACTCTTGGCACCACTGTGTCCAGGCGGTCTGGAAGTGGATGCAGTGGACAAGGAAAGGCTCTGCCTGGATCAGGTGTTCTCACCAAGTGAGAACTCTTTTTGGGTGAGAGTGGCTCCTCAGCTGGGTATCAGGGGTGCGAGGAGCTTGGTGAAGACTTGCATTTGTAAGGTACAGAAAAGCAACATTAAAATCCCAGGTTGGAAAAAGTAATCCCTTCATGAAGGCCGATAGGGATGCTTCTTCCCCCCTCTCCTTCCACTTCAGGATGTTGAACACAGTTCCTTGTTCAGTATAATGTGTGTTTCTGGGAACTGAGCCCTCAGCTGCCTGGGCTGTTTCTGCTGGGCTGATGGTCAGCGTGAGGTTGTCTCTGATTCCTTCTCTATCACTTTGACAAGTGAATCTTGACACTAACCACTATTTTTGTAAGGCACCTGTCTCATACCATCAATTCATCCTTCCTTGTACTTTCTGTATCACAACTGCAGTCAGCAGGCTGTCTCACCTCAGATGATGCAGCTGTATTTTAACTAGATGATCATAATCTCAGTGTCTCCTTTTCCATTGCCTGTCTTCTCCTTGGCACCTCCTTTGTAGCTTGATCAGTATAAAAGGGAGTGAAAATGAAATAGGCTTCTTGAAGGATTCGGTGACATTTGTTCTTTACTAGACTTGGACAGGTTTTTCATGGGTGCTCCTTTCCACATGCCGGTGTTATGGCATTGCTCCTTGCGCGGTGATTTCGTCCCAGCAAGGCCGTCTCAGCTGTAACTGAATGGTGGTTGTGTGACACCAGGGGAGGAATCACACCGGTTCTGGGGAAGAGGTGGCAGTGCTGCTTTGGGAACCTGCAGGTTTTCAGACCCAGGCTGAAGTGTGTTTGAGGTGCGGTGTTTAGGATTTCTTTTCCTTGCTACCACTTTAAATTCATAGGCAAAAATTAAGAGAAAGGCATGAAAATTAAGTCAAAAGGTGAATTTCCTTCTATGATCTAGTAAACATTAGCGATTAGATTAGAGCAGGTGTAAGTCCCACATTGCGTTATTTGATGGGCTGCCTGCTCTTTCATGGGCCAATGGACTTACAGTTGCTTCAGCTGCTGTGGGGTACCTGAAAGTGAGGAAAATGGAGCAGTTTTCTGGGTGAAGGCTTTCTTCTCAGCCATGTGTCGGGTTAGCAGCAGGAGACTGTGCTGCCTCTTGCAATGCCTCCGTGTTCTCCACGTTCTGCTCTCACTGGTTTCTGCGCTGCCTCAGACACTGACTGCTGCCCCTTGTGCCTGTGGTGCGTTACAGGAGCTGCTCCGGGCACTTTCACCCCATGGCTGCGGTGCCGTGCAGGCTCCCTTTGGTGCCTGACAGCCCCGTGTCTCTGGTTTTGATTCAGCAGAAGTAGCCTCTTCTGCTGCTGCTTGTTCCTTGTAGGTGTTTGCTGGTCGTTGAATGTCATTCTGCTGGCTTTATTACTGAATGGTCTCCCCGGGTTATTTGAGTCCTGTTTGTCTCCAGAATTGCCCAGTCACTGACTGGCGACTGTTTGATGGCTGATTGCTGTCTGTGGGCAGGAATTTCCAGTCCAGGTGGAGAGGACTGGGTGGTTTCACTTTGTCCTTGGGAAAAGGAATTGGTTTTTCTTTCTAAAATCTTTACTCAAGTGAAGCCCGAGTAGTGTTGGTACTCAGGGAGACCAAGGCTTTTTGCACCAGACCTGAAAATGTTACTTGCTTCAAAATTCACTGGAAGGCTCGAGAATTTTAAATGGCTAAAATAGCCGAAAATCTGTTGTCATTGGAAAAATAAAAGTGTAAAACTTTCTAAATTCTCCAGTGGATTAACCACTGCATTAAAAAAATTAAAACCAAACCAACCCCCCTCCCCAAATAAACCCCACCACAGCCCCACTGTTTCCAGCAGAGGAAACCCCTTGGTGGTTTCCTGTTGGTGCCAGCGAGCACCGAGGCCGTGCTGCTGCAAGGAGCCGGTGCTGGCACTGCCCCACTTGCTGTATGGAATCTTGTTCTGTAGGATGGGAAGAGAGAGAAGCGCCACAAGGGAAATTACTGCTGGTAATTGTTTGTCGGCACCGTTCTACTTTTCCCATCCTACCTTCGCAGTCATCTCTTGCAAACTCTGTCTCTCCTGCACGTGTGTGTGAGTTCTTCCGAGTCAGTCGCATTTTTGGTCTGCGTCCTCAGTGCCTGGGTAGGCCCCGCTCTTGGCACCCCCTGTGGTTCAGCATGTTTGCTGCTGGCTCCCTGGTGGCTGGAACGGTAATTTGTGCTGTGTGGAATCTTGTCTTATAGGGGTTTTGTAGAAGAAGGAGGTCTACTACAACCAGAGTTACTGGTATGTAAGTTTCCCTTTTCTTTCATAAAAGGAAAATGAAGGTTGGACTGAGTAGTTCAGTGGTTTAGGCAGCTAAGATTTCTCAAAAAAGAAAGTGTGTCTTAGAATAACAAGATCAGCAAAAGGACTAAAGTGAAATATATATAATAAATGAAAAATGAGTAAAAATCTGAAATGGAACAAGTATTCTAAACCAGCCTTGCTGTTGCCATGCAAATGCATACGATTTCATACTTCCAGCTGAGGATTTTTGCTCTTTCCCCCCTTCTCAGACACAGGTATTTTATGATCAAAAGACGAAGCTGAAATTGTTCATTCTTCTAATTGTCCTTCCTGACTTTTCAGAACCCTTCTTGTATTGCATTTCTTCTAAAGTTACGCAGTAAAATTCACCTGGGAGAAACAGAAGTCCTATTCAGAGCTGAATAAGAGACTTAAGGGATTTTATAACCCGAATTGTTCTTGTTGACTAATGTCAATAAATACTGAGAAAATACAATGCAATGTTAGACCATAAGACCCAGTTTGAACCTAACCCGTGTGGTTGACTTTCATCGCCTGGGCAGCAAGGCGTCAGTGCTGCACGTGCTCCAGCGCCGCCCCTTGTCGTGTGTCTGCAGGCTCAGGATCATCCACGCCAAGAGGACGGGCAAGAGGGAGGCGGCCGGGGGCGGTGAGGCGGGCGAGGAGCAGCACGCGCTGGAGACGCCGACGCCGGGGCGCAAGCGCAGGCGCAAGGGGGGGGACAGCGACGACGACGATGACGACGACGACGACAGCGAGGATCAGGCAGAAGAGGATGATGAGGATGAAGAGGACAAAGAGGATAAGAAGGGGAAGAAGGCCGATGTTTGTGAGGACGAGGTGGGAGATGTTGAGTATGATGAAACTTAATTAACCGGGGAGTTACGACTTGTTTTCCTCTTGTTTCTCTGCAACGTGGCACCGCTTCCCCAACGTCTCACAATAAAAGGAAGAATAAGTTGCCTCCAGATTTTTAAATTTTTAGATTATTTTCTGGAATACTTTCTTTCTTCTTTTTTGGATAACTATTCTAGGATGGGTTGGTTTTTTGTTGGTTTGGGTTTGGGATTTTTTCCTACTGACTTGTTTTGACTTAGTCTTAATTTCTCTTGAACTCTGACGGATTGTACCAGATCCAGAGAACTGCAGCTTTGTTAGCAAATGAGCATAACTGTAGCTTTCTTTTAGAGGAGAATAAAGGTCATTTATAAGTTAATAAAATAGTAAAGAAGTCAAAAGTTCTATTTAACATTATCTATTACAAAGCTTGCCTGTGACCTTCCTGTGCATTTTTTTAATAACTTCTCTAGAGTAGTCATCGTATTTGATCACCGAAATAAAGGGAAGTGTGCACTGACCAAAGACTGATTGATAGGATTGACTGATTTTATTATTTCATGCATGACAAACACTTAGAAATTAATTTGAATAACCAAAAAGCTTCATAGAAACTAAGATTAAATTCTATAGTCTTCAGCGTTCATGCACAAACTGAATTATTTCTTCCAGTAAAAGAATGTTTTCAGCGAACTTTCGGCCATGCACTTTCTCCTTCTGGGATGGTTTGGGAAGATTCAAGATGCATCTTCCTCCAGTTCCGTTGTTTCTAGGGAATTACACTGAACAAACACGAAACTTGAACTTATTTACCTTTAGGGTTTGCCTCTTATTTTCTGTGACATTGTTTTGCTATAACATCAGTAAGACTTGGTAGCATGATTTCATCCTGAAGTAACTTTGGTGTTACGGTGTATTTGGTGATTCCAGGACGATGGGGACCAGACAGCAAGTGTGGAGGAACTGGAGAAGCAGATTGAAAAGCTGACAAAGGTGAGGGGTACTAAAATCGGTTCACTGGGTGTCACGAGACAGAATGTTCACCATCATTTTCAGTGCTCCAACTTAATACAAAGTGAAATAAGGATCAGCTTTGGTTTCATGGAAACATGAACGTTGCTACTGTTCATGACACCCAAATTGTGCGTTTAGTCTAGCAGCACTAAGTGGATAGGACTCAAAAGGCAATTAGAAAGGTGTTGATAATATATTTGCACGAATCAGAATAAAAAAGAAATACCATTTTTGTCCAGACCCAATTGATACAGTTGTGTTTGTTGATCTTACACAGAATCCATAGTTATTTCTCTGGGAAGCCTTGGTACCAATGGTTGTGGTTCTGGTTCCCTCCTGCTGATTCCAGCAACCGCGTCCAAGCCACTGCAGAGCTGGCTTCAGATTTTGGACGAAACAGTGCGATAGGGAGAGAAATGGAAAGGAGAAAGATAAAATGCTGCAGATAGAAACATGGGCCATGAGTACCCCATTCTTTGTATTAGAAAATTCATTTAAGAGGTGGTTTCTTGCTTTCTCTCATGTTCCAAACCGCAATAAATTTGCAGTCCAGAACTGCACCTGACTTCCTGCAGTGTCAGTTTGGCAGAGCAAGAAGTGAATAAATGCACTGAAATTCTTGTTGCCCCCCTCGGAGAGCTGCTTGTGCTTGAACACAGTTTATTTTCAGACATTGCTGTTTTATGAACCAGTTAAGATAACCCATCAGTTTCCCATCAGGAGCTGCAGACTCCACTGTCTGCAGTGCTGTCATTTGCTGTCACTGCACCACTGACAGGGTTGCTGCTGTTCTTGTGGAATGAAATCATCCTGCTGTTACCTAAATGTGAGCATTAGAGACAGGACATCACAAAATGTGTTTGTAAGGAAGGCTGAGAAACTTAAGTTGCACCAGGAAGTGGTTGAATTGCCTTTTCTTTAAAGGGAGCTCTGTGAGTAAAATCATCAAGGCAATTGTGAGCAGAATATCAGGAAACACAAAATCTCTGAGAGCCTCCTGATGGGACCCTTGAACTTCAGTGCAGTCTGGCAGCCAGGAGATGTTTTCTGTTATAGTGAATTTTTTCCGCTATTGAATCCCAGTACTTTCCCTCTTTTAAAACAGCAACAGAGCCAGTACAGGAAGAAGTTGTTTGAAGCGTCACACTGTTTGCGCTCAATGATGTTTGGTCAGGATCGCTACAGACGCCGGTACTGGATTCTGCCTCAGTGCGGGGGCGTTTTTGTGGAAGGCATGGAAAGCGGTGAAGGTAAGAAACAAGAGGACGAGGGTACACAGGGCGCGCTGTGCAGGACAGGTTGTGTGCAGCTCTGCAGGCGGTGGGGCTGTGCAGCAGCAGCTCTGCAGGCGGTGGGGTTGCACTGCAGCAGCTCATGTGTTCGAAGCAGCGCTTCTACTGTCAGCATCTGCTTGTTCTGCTTTCCATTACTCAGATCCTGTGCTGTCTGTCACCTCTGTGTGGCTGTGTGCAGGGTCCCAGCCCTCACCTTGGGTGGCTCTTGGGTTTTAAACTGCCAAGAATGTTGACATTTTTAATAGTCAAAAGTTGTTACTTATCTTTATTGAAAGAGGTGAAATATTTAAGATTGTGTTTCAGTATTTGGGGAATATTTGATTTCACAACAGGAATTTTGGTCCTTTTTGTAGTTGGCTGTGAGTTTAATGAAATGGTCTTTGCAAAATGAGCTTTGAGGCTATAAACATCGCGCTCTTGATATAACCACAGGAGTTTTTCAATAGAGCATGGAGGGTCTTGCAAAAAGGAAGTGGCAAAAAAATTGTCCCTCTCAAATGTCCCTCCGTGCTGGCAAGCTGCTTCAGACCTATGTAAATCTTAAGGGCGAATGGTAGAGCTGTGTCGACTACGTGGAGGTTGTTTTTCCTCCAGAT